ACAACTACAACTACTACAACTACAACAACTACAACAACTACAACAACTACAACAACTACAACAACAACAACAACAACAACAACAACAACAACAACAACTACTACTACTACTACTACTACTACTACTACCAGTATACTGCTACTTCTAGCAGTACCACTAGAACTTGAGGTACCGGCGGTACTGGCAGGTGGTACTAGTGAGTTACTAGTGGTACCAGTTGTTGCTGACGACCCCAGGCCCTGCCTGCATGGAGACCTCCGAGTCTACGTGCTCCCGGTCCTGGTGCTCCCCATCCGGCTCTGTCGTGCCTTACTTGTCTCCAGCTGGTCAGGTCGGAGTATTTTTCGATCCTTAAGGTATTTTAGGCCCATTTTAGGCTTCGACAAGCGCTTATATGGGCTCTGTATAGGTACCAGCGCTAAAGGGCTTTCAATCGGGTTTAGGGCTGCAGGGTTGGAGCTTTCGGGGCTTTGGGGCTCAAGGTTTCCCTGCGATAATAGGTTCAAGCTGAAATAGCAGGAGTATTCTCTAAGATTGGTAGTGCGCCCCAAACTGGCTAAATCGGGGTAAGTAAAGAACAAGTACTTGCTACGGGATGATCCCACCTGTACGCACGTAACTCTACGTATACCCTTCCTAGCTCACCTGCCTGAAACAAACCAGATCACTGTATCAAAAAAGCTCTGCAACCTCCAGTCGGACCCGGTAAAGTAGGATTCTTTCCCCTGTACAGCCCTTCCATCACTGTGGAAATTCCGCAAAATCAAACAACTAAGGCAGCAGGCTCTCCATCTCGTTGGCAACATAGTGCTTGCAGCAGGCCGAGGCCTGTTGCCGAGGGTTCTGACTTTACTGCTGTTCTTGACCTACACATAAAACAAACAAACCACGGTACACATATATATATATATATGTATATATATACATATATACATATATATATATATATATAATAAAACTTTATGCGTTTGGCGACCTTCAACTCACCCCCGAACCACATGGAGTTGCTGCTGCTGCTGGTGTTCGTGCCGGCGTTGGCGGTTGCTGTTAATGCTATGTGCGTATGTATGTGGAGTATCTATGAGCGTCAACTATGACCTTAATCACTGACAGTATAGATATATCATCTTACATCCATCGATCGTTCTCTCTTTGCTCGTGTGTTTAGTCTACGCAGATCGGAATACTTCCAGCATTGACTTGCAAGAATGCGGGCCCAAAAACAGAAAAGAGGCCCTTGTGGGGAAATCGAGTTTGGAGGCTTGGGTTGAAGTGTCTTAGGAAGTGTCGGCATGGAGGGTTTCAGGCTTGGGAGCTCGAAGCCCTTAACCCCGAAAGCCCTGACCCTAAAGCCCTAACTCAGGCGCTCCTGCACGTGGTAAGGGTCCTCGGGTGCTTCCTGAAAGCCACGGACGAAGTTCTCGGCGTACTCACCGGTAAGGTAGGGGTCTTCCCCGGGAGTCTCGATATTGCGGCCCCAGCGCGGCTCCTAGGCACCGGGTGGAGGAAGTTTAGGGTGTTTAGGGTTTAGGGTTTCAGGCTCTCTAAACCTCCCCTCAGTTTCCACTGCAGTCTGCCAACGCCCATTCGAGACCGTTGGCGGGGTCTCTGCTGGCACTTTGGCAAGATGATTGGGACCCAATTACATCCTCCCCGGTCCTGCCTAAACTAAACCCTAAACCCTAAACCCTAAACCCCCTTGCTTTTGTCTAGTCTAGCTATGCAAGAAGCCGGCTCAGGCATGCAGAGGTCTTCCGTCGACTGCCGTCACCCATTCAAGACCCTTCCAAACTGAGGGGATCTCTTAGTTGTAGGGTTTAGGGTTTAGGGTTTAGGGCTTCGAAGTGCTGGACATAGGTTCCTGTCATTGCGGGAAATCGGGGTGAAAAGCTGTTCTGACCGTCGGCGTTTGGGGTCATTCGGCGGTCGGCTGCAGGATTAATGATCTCGGATTTTTCTTTGGAAGGTCTGGGCTGCAATCAGAACTGGGAGCTGCGTCTCAGATGCCGGCAAGGCTGCAGAACCGACAGATAAAGCCGAGATGTAGGGTTTCCTTCTTATGGTTGACCAATCCCTTTCCAAGTATCATGCTTTGCAATCACGGCGCTAAACCTTTAACCGCTGCACCCCAAGCTCCAAACATTTCCTTAGGGTTTAGGGTTTAGGGTTTAGGGTTTAGGATCTATTCATTCCTTTATTGCTTATATACTAATAATATTGCTTACCCAAAGGCCCCATAGTAGTTCCTTTTTGGGGTTCATATTTAGAATTTAGAAACCTATAAGGTAATCCCAAGAAGGAACTACTATGGGGCCTATATGGGTATACGTTAGTACGGCCTTTGAATCCAGGAGACCCGTGCGAGGTTGATCACCGGGGCCCAGAAGCTGGAGAAGGCTTGCCCCACGTTCCTGAATTGGTTTAGGGTTTAGGGTTTAGGGTTTTGGGGTTTAGGGGACTTCCGTGCGTATGTCTATAAGTCCTGAATACGTGTTGTTTGGTGGTTACATTATGCCCACCTTCATCCTGCTGAGTACTTTTAGGGACCGGAAGCTGAACAAAAGCGCATATAACGAGCGATCAGCCGCGAAGATTAAGGGCTTACCTGTTTAAGGATGCTGAAGGCTTTAGGGCTGACGGCCTGGGGTTTACAGTTGAGGCCTGGAACTTTAGCTAATTGCGTCTTAGGGTTTCGGGTCGTCTGGAGCTCACGGCGACGTCGCTCAAGTCTTGCAGGCACATTTGCGAAATCAGCAAGCCAACGATGGACTGGCACAGCTACCAAGAACAGGTGAAAGTTCCGAGCTTCTTTAACACGGTATTTACAACACAACAACATGCCTCATCGATGAACCTCAAGATACTAGTATCACCCCATGGACCTAGACTCGGACCTAGACCAACAAAAGGCTGTGGGCTGTGGGCCGAGACTCATCGCCGCTCGCGCTTCACGGCCGATCTGGCGGCCGACCATCGTCCAGAGGCTTCGATTGAAGCTCATGCCCGTGGTAATGGGGTAGGGGAACTTCGTGGTCTGCAGATTCCCGGCATCTGCAACTCCACTAGAAGCCTCCGACCACCAGTTATACCGTGGAAGGCCCAAAGATGAGATCGCAGGGGTGTCTGTACCAAGCGCCCCGATTTTCTCTTGGAGAGTCATGCGCTTCACAGCGTCCGCGACACGCTCGTCGATGGCAAGAGAGCTGTTGCAGAAGGGCATCTTGGAAAACTTCGTGTCCCCCAAGCAGGGGTTCACCAGTTTTGGGGGTCCTTTTGGTGGCGGCTCGGGTGCGCCGGAACACTTCACATCGAAGACTGAGATGGACCAGAAGCCTCCACATTGTTGCTTGCCGTCTCCATTGCAGGCCGTGCTGCAATTCACGGACATATGCGGTGTTCCTGTGTTCAGTTTGTCTCCGCAGTAGCATTCGGACCCAAATTCCGTGCCGGCGAGGGCAAACTTTCCGTTTGCGCACAGCTGCGCGCAGTACTGCGGCGTGATGGGGCCCATCGCCACGTTGTCATGGCCCAGGATCCGCTTTGCGGTGTCTACATAGCAGCTTGGGCTCTCCACAGTGCAACCGGCTCTTGCGGACGCGACGAGGAGAGACGCAACGAGGGTCTTGCGCATCATGGACGCTCCCTACGTGGTATAAGTCCTAGAAGGGCCTTGAGCAGATGTACCCTGGTGGGAAAGAAGCATCGAAACGACGCAGCTGGGCCCGATTGCAACATGCTGAGGATCAGACCAACCATAGTCGCGACCTCGGCGTCAAGATGATAGAAGCCCTGAAGCACTCCAAAGGTCCGTGCCCTTGCATGGGCAGAGCGAATTGCGGATATGTGCAAACTTCACTGCGCCGGACTGGGCGTCGGGCCAGGGAAAACGTGGCAGACGGAGTCGCAATATTGCGCCTTGCATTCGGCCCAGTTGTGATACCGACACCCAAGCCGCCGAGCTGAGTCACTGTCGCACTTTTTGAAAGGCGGTAATACCGGGGGCGTTAAGTATTTGGGGTATATGCTCGTAGAATGATGTAGGACCTGTGCTTGCATACTATTACCACTTGGGAGTTTCCGAAAATACGGGTGCCTTATTTTGGGGGTCCTTATAATAAGGGTCCTACTATTTAGGGTACATTAGGGTCCCCTATTTTCGGACACTCCCACTTGTTCAGTCGTGATTAGCTTTATGGCAGATCCAGGCACGCCTTGGCATAGAAGCCAACTCCTAATCATCGTCGCCAGCAGCTGCTTTGCAAGACTACCCTCACCCCTCAAAAGAAAAATCCTTATGCAAAACCCTCCACAAAATCGTCGCAAACCCTCATAACCCTCAACAAAACAGCCCTACTTGTCACCAACCCTGCAGCTGATAGAGCCCCCCCTAGACGCCGAACCCTATGACCCCCGAATGAAACCCCTAGAACTACCCTAAACCCTAAAATCCCTGAACATCCCTGAACCCTAAACCCTAAATCCCAAACCCTAAAGCCCTACCACTTCAGACAAATAGAGCCTCTCGTCGTCGAAGGCCCGCCCCAGGTACTCCAACTGACGTGGCCCACGCGGGCTGGCCAGCCTGCCAAAATGGCCAATGGTTTTAGGGCTTGGGGTTGTAGGGCTTTAGGGCTTTAGGGTTTAGGGTTTAGGGTTTGGGGTGTTTTAAGGGTTTAGGATTTTGGGGTTGAGGGCGTTTAGGGGGAGGGTGTAGAAGTTTAGGGCTTTGCGGTTTTACGGGTTTGGGGGCTCACGGTTCGAGCTTTTTGTTTGGCAAATTGCTCCAACTGGAGAGGGTGAGTTTAAGATGCTCCGACATAGTAAGCCCTTTTGCTGGCAGCAACTTGGCCAGGCGGACAAGCGTCTCGCGGGAAGATTGCTGCTTCCTGGCGCACTTCAGAAAAAGCGGGGCTGCATGTACTAAATAAGGTTCGACAAGTTTAAGCCACAACACCCTACTCCGCAGTACGAGCCCCTAGAATTGCGTCGAGCCTGAACTTGCGATTGCCTGTGTAGGGAAATCTGCGCTGTTACCGGAGGTATGACATGAGGTTTTGGGGTTTGGGATATTTCTTAATTGGTTTGGGGTCTTTGCAGCTCCTTCCCGCTCGGCGAGTGGCTGGTTGTCGAGGGACGGCTGGGATGCGAGGCCTGGCCAGGTCTGCCGGGCGAAGGGATGTCGAGGTGCGTACAATGCGGATTCCTGTGCGTATGCATGTGCACGCATGCATAGAGTCATTGTGCGCTCGCCTGCACATGTATGTACATATGTGTGTGTGTGTGTGTGTGTGTTGTGTATTGTGCATGTGTTGTGTGTTGTGTGTTGTGTGTTGTGTGTTGTGTGCTGTGTGTCGTATGTTGTGTGTTGTGTGTTGTGTGTTGTGTGTGTTGTGTGTGTTGTGTGTGTGTTGTGTGTGTGTGTTGTGTGTGTGTGTTGTGTGTTGTGTGTGTTGTGTGTGATGTGTGTGTGTGTTGTGTGTGATGTGTGTT